AAAAAGAAAGGCTTGGGATGAGGATATTCTGGCGATCAAGCAGGAGAAAAAGTGCCAGCTAGACGGGGCGAAATGTGGAGAGAAAGTCGATGGGGGAGGGTGACCACTCAAGCCAGCCTTGGACGTGGTGGGGACAATTGCTCTTGGGTTTCCCTTTTGGGTCTGCCCTGACCGCATGACTGAGGTTGCGGGGCTGTCACGACTGTCTTGTTGCGCGTTCCTGCAGCTCGGCTGGCTTCCGGCCCGCGTAGGCGAATTGATCATCGGGGGTGGTAGCAAAAACCGCGCCAAAGAAACACAAGATTTGGTTGTCTCTGCCTCCAGAGATAGCTGCCGCTTGGTATAGACACAAACACTGGAGCACAGTCTTGTAAATTCCCCGACGTCTTTCTTCTTTGGATGGGCAGCTTGGAAAGTCTCACGTGCCCGGATTCTCGTCCTTGCTACCAAGCGACTCGGAGACAGGGGGCCGCCTCCATCTTTGACAGCCCCGTCAGCGCCTGAGCGCTGGCGTGTGCTTGCAGAAACACTAGAAATACTCGTGATAACGGAGCGTCGTGGGATTCGAATGGAGCCCGACGCAACCCCTCAACGACCGAGCGGCTGCCAGTCGCACGAGCAGATCCTACATGATGAGAAACCTTGCGCAGCCACGACCTCCTGCCATCAAACTTTATTGCAGAAGGCGAACCCGCGCGCTGTGCATGCACAACTTTTGGTGAATCGGCCCAAATACCAAGCAACCCGATCCAAGGTCCGCTCTCCAGATGCATCATCATAATCCACGTCCGCATGCCGTCGGCGTCGCGCACGCCCGCGGGGCATTCATCCCATAGTCCATGATTGACCGCGGCCATGGAGCGCCCTCGACGCATCATGCGTGCTCTTGCGTTGCTTGCGAGCTGCCCCGGCCCCTAACGCAGACGGCTGTCACTGGGATGGCGGGGTGCGTTTGTGCTGCCCGCGCGCACCACACCACGCGGCGGGTATGGGAGACACATCTGCTAATTTCCCCTTTCGGACTTGGCTCACGTCGATCTAAGTATATCCTCCATCGTTTTTATCTCGCCTGGGTGGTGGGTGGTGGGTGGTGCGGGTCTCCTTGTCTGGCAGTTTGCTCACTACCTTCTTTTTGGAGATCTCCATGGGCGTGGGGTGAAACGGGTTTGACAACCGACCAGTCGCGAGTCAGCCGCAGCCTTCATGCGGCCCCGGCGAAACAGAGGTGGCAGCCTCGGCGAGCTGCTGCTCTTTTTTTGAGGCGCGGCGGGCTGTCCCACGCGCCAGGGACCTCCCAGCCCACACCTCCCTCTCAGCTGTGCCCTCCGGGAGCTGGGGAGGGCTTTTTAAGCTACGTGGGGCACTCAGCCTCCCCTGTCACCACCACCCATTTCTGTCATGCCAGGGGGGTCGGCACCGATCCCTACCGTTCATCGTGAGCTTGGCGCTCGATTTACCTCGACGCACTTCTGGAGCATGCCTTGCGTCCTCCCCTTCCCCGCTTCGCCTGCTCCCCTGTCGGGGATCCATGCCTGTCAGCGTTGCTGTTTGCTCGCCGGATATCTATACATGCTTTCGTGGTCCCAAGCCCTTGGGTTCTCGCCCTTTAGCCTTATTCTACGATGTTCGTCTCGTGCAGGACTCGATCCCAAGCTTTGTGACTACGCTTTTTTTCCTTCGTGTTTTCTTTTGTCACGTTCGGCTAGCATATCTTTTTTTTTCTTTCATTTTTTTTTTCATATTGTTCTTTCTTTCTCTCTCAGGCGGGCCTTTCCTTTTTATTCATCCTTCACAATGACTTCCCTTCGGCTATTACAACTTCTCGTGCTCCTGGGAGTTGTTTCTTACGTTCAAGCCGCCAGCCTCTGCTTCTTCCCCAACGGCAGGCAATCAAAAGATGTACCATGCGACCCGACAGCAGAGGTTAGCATGTGCTGCGGCTCCGTGGCCGCCTGCTTATCCAACGGCCTTTGCAAGGACGAGAGCACAACAAACAGCACTGGCGTGTCATACGCCAGGGGGACCTGCTCCGACCCGACATGGCAGTCCCCATTTTGCCCCCAAAACTGCCAGCTGAGTAAGTTTCAGTAGAGACACTCGAGTGTCGCCCAGGTCTTGGGAGGTCACGCCGGGCTGACAGACCTTTTAGACCAAGACAGCATGCGCACCCGATCGGCCTACGACTTCCGCGCCAACGGCGTCCAGGTCTGGGAGTGCGACGCCCAGGGCTTCGGCCAGCCCGCGCGGTACTGCTGCGAATCGGCGGCTGAGAAGACACGATGCTGCGCTACCTCGTCGGCCCTCTTCAGGCTGGCCTCGGCCTCGCCCGGCAACGCGCTGCCCATCCAGACCTACCCACCACCCGTATCGAGCTTCGCAACGACGATGAGCGCGAACCCCGGCACGGCCGGCACGCCCAAACCGATGGCAACCGCGGACGCGAGCCGCAGCTGCAGCAGCATGGCGGCACCAGCACTGACGCCGGCACCAGAGGCGGCACCGCTGCCGTCATCGTCGTCGACGGACGCCTCGGGCGCGATGCCGACCAACGTCAAGGTCCCGGCCTCGCCCGCTATCGGCACCAACGGCGTGATCACGGGGCCCGGCGGCGAGCAGATGATGGACATGTCGATGCACAGGAGCAGCATGACGGCCATGGGGGTGGGCGCTGCCATCGGCGGCGGCGCCCTGTCGGCCATGCTCGTCATGCTCGTGATCCACTGCCTCCGCCGGCGCCGCGAGACCGCCATGATCGAGGCGGGCCAGGGCGGCAGCAGCTTCCGCGTCCTCTCGGGGGGAAGGAGGCCCAGCGATAGGGGAGGCTCGGGCTTCCGCGTCCTGTCGCACGGCCGCAGCCCTAGCCAGCAGTGGCTGGTGCGTCCCAACATGTCGGAGCTGGGCAACGGCCACAGCCGCCACAACAGCTGCAGCTCCCATTCGAGCATATTACGAAACAACAGCTATAGCTCCCAGAACAACGGCAACCACTGCCATGAGGCCGTCGACCGCGGCTGCGGCCACGGCCCCGGCCCCGGCCCCACCTACGGCAGCGTCAGCGTCGCCGGCGGCGGCTACGGCAGCGTCGCCGCCTACAGCACGGTAGTGCCCGGCGCCGCGTTGCCCGTCAACCCGCAGCAGGCCATCTTCGAGCGCGGCGTGCAACAGCAGCAGCAGCAGCAGCAGCAGCAGCAGCAGCAACAGCCGCGGCCGAGCTTTGCCGTCTCGGGCCACCCGTTGGTATGGAACGGCATCAACTACGGCGGGCGCTTCAACGAGATGCAAACCATGGACGAGCGCACCATCGCGGTCATCGACACCATGATCGCGGCCGGCGCGGCCACCGACGGTAGCCCCAACCTGAGCGAGATCTCGGGCGTCTCGGGCTCGCTCGCCGACTCGCCCATTGACGTCGGCCAGATGCTGGTCGGCGAGCTGCCGCCGCGGAGGCCGCTGCCGCCGCTGCCCATCGCCATGAAGCGGAAGACGCCGCTGGCGGAGCTGCCGGACATGCAGACGCGGCGGAACTAGTAGGGATGACGAAAGGAGTGGGTTTGACGAATGCCGGCATTACTTAGAGTTCATTTTTTTTGTGATTCTTTTACTTTTTCCCCCCCTTTGTCATCAGCTTATCCGAAGCCATATGGATGCATTTTCACTATCACGATTCTCTTCTTCTGCCAGGCGCACACGCATAGCATCCTGGAATTGCTTCCATTGAGATACCTGGCATATATTTTTGCCATGCCTTTTCACATACCCTTTTCCTTTTTATCTCTTCAATTCTTTTATAGATACTTATTTCGAAATGTAGTTGCAAAGCCATACAACAATATGACTTTTCATATGTCCATTGACCACTCTATTCCAGACATTCTTCTTCTTGGACGGTGATGATGCTTTCCTCTGCTTGGTTATCCAAGGTTTTCGACCTCTTGGCAAAGGCGGTGTTTCTGCCCCTCGTCGACTTAGCCCCCCGGTCACTCCGGACTTGGGCCCGCGGCCGGGAGAGCCCTCAAGGTTCGTGTATCGAGCTTTTCTAAATCCGTGTACCGATCCTCACGACTGAGCCACGCTGTCTCGTCTGGGTGAAACCCCTCCAGCGGGGGCGCCCCGTAGGTACCTGTCCTGGCTGACTCGCTCTGGGCGCCCTCGGGCCCGGAGGGCACCTATCGCAACCTCGCCGAGGGATTGACCAGACCCACCGACTTTCAATTTCAAAACTTGGGCCACTGGGGGTTCAATGGTGTGGCGAAAAAAAGAAATCGTATTCTTGACGTCTCTGGGGAACATGATGTTGTAAACCAAAAACAAGTAAACAAATCCCTAGCACATGACATTATCTCGGCTCGTGCTTTCATTATACCGTCTCTCTCGCTTCAGCCCTCCACTCGCTTGCCGCCTCGCCCGTTTTACACTGTAGCTTTTTAGGGGCCCTTTTTATTAATTTTTCCCAAGGGGAGCGAGGCGTTGCCACCAAACAGCGGGGTGATTTGAATCCTCCTGCTCTTTTCACCTCCCCTCTCTTTCCACGGCGGCAAGACAACGAAAAAGAGCAGAGCTGCTCACTTGCGCAGGAATCGGACCGGGTTCGGGACCGTGCGGACGGACTGGGCCACCGTGGTGGTGACGGTGACGGTCTGCGCCGCCGCCGTGATGGTCGGGGCCACGACGCCGGCGCACTTGCAGGCGCTCACGTAGCGCTCGCCGCTGCCGCCGCACTTGTCGCCCACGTAGGTCGGCACCGCGGCGGGCTCGGTGTTGGTCTTGGTCACGGTGACGATGCTGGTGTGGGGATGTGTGTGTGTTTGTGTGTGTGTGTGTCAGTCAGTACAGTGTTCTCGGTAGTGGTTTTGCAAAGAGGAAAAAAGGAATGAGTGCTGCCTTACACCGGCTGCGGGGTCACGGTCACGGCGATGGCGGCCGAGCAGTCGGCCGAGCGCGCGGGCATGGACACGCTGATGTGGGCGCCCGTGCCCATGACGCCGCGCTGGCAGCCGTCCTGGTTGTTGCTCGTTCTGCAGGCGAGGCAGGCGTCGGTGGCGAGGGTTGACGCGGCCGAGGCCAGGACGAGGAGAGCCGAGGCGGAGAACTGCATGTTGGGCGGTTTGGGCTGGTTGGGAATTAGGTAGCTGGGATGGTTCCGGAGGAGGCTGTTGGGTTGGACAGGTAGTGAGCGTGGAGGAGGATGAGGAGGCTACTTGGTAGGTGAGGAGCAGGCCTCTACCTTGGCGATGGCGAGCGATGTGTCACCCTTTTGTCCTTTTCCAGCCGGCATCGTGAAGGAGCAGCAGCCAGCCAACATCTCCCAGCTTCCCACCTTGGCTGTCTTTCAGCCCTCCACGATATTGGGTGTTTGTCTTGGGACGCCCGCTCGTATCTCCCTCCCTACCAGCCCACGTCTGGCCGTGGGAAGAGGGCGGTCGAGTGCCCAGGATAATCATTCCAATATCCGACCGGTTAGTTCTCACTAGCGCAGCATCACGACGGCCTAGACGGCCTTCTCTCGCTTTCTTTTTATTTTTAATTTTTTATTCAATTTATTTTTTGGGAGTTGCGTAGAACTCCAGGCAAGCCAAAGCCCCAGCTGGTCACCCAGTTCAGCTCTCAGGGACAGCTTTTGCTTGTTGGGAAATATTGCGTAGGGATATCAGGGGTGGCCCAATAACATGGGGCGCTAAGCTCGTAGCGGTGGCTTGGCTGCATGTTTGTTTTTCCTGATTTGCCCTTCCTTTTTCTTTCCTTCCTTTTTCCAACCCAGCTCTGGACCTGCGCTATCAGTGCGTTTTGGCGTCCAGACCGCCCCCGCCGTTTGCAGGAAGACTGCCGATGCTGGACGATCTTGGCAGCGTGTCTTATTGGAGGCCTACGCGATATGCCTGGATTAGCTGGCAGAGGGGAGATGCTGTTACAGGGGACTGGGATGTCCAAGCCGTAGGCGTGGCGGACATAGGGTCGTCGAATCCCGACGTTTCCGATTCCGACATTCGGATTTTGTGCTTGGTGCTTGGTGCTTGGTGGCTATTTTTCTTTTCTCTCCTTTTTTTTCTTTGGGCTGGCTGGAGTCGGTCTTGTTTTTATTGAAGGATTAATGGAGAAGGACAGGAACGAGTGAGGAGAGCGGATTAAAAGGCGTATGGTGGCGCCTTTTGTTGGAGTTCCTCACCTATGTTGACAAACTGATGTGTCTGCCCCGCCTTTGTTTGGCCAAGCATTTCAATCCACTGAGTCATCGTATTTGATACCAACTTGTGTGTGTTAACCGCCCCCAACCCCCGGCCTGCGCTCCAAGTACCTAGGTCTTGCTCCCCCGATGGTCGGCCCGCGAAACCGACCACCGAGGGCGAAAGCTCGAGACTCAAGCACCGATTTTCGCACGAAGCTGAAAGGATTACAAAATACACTGTCGAGGGGCGGCAGGAAATGCCCAGGCGCTGGTCTGCTCCTGGAAGTTCAACTCCGAGCTAGCTGGTCGTGGCCTCTCGGGCGCCCGACACAGGGGTCAACACCAACAGCCTTGGCATATCTACTAAGGCCATTGCTGTTATTCCTGCGTAATTTTACAGCAGAGTCTGGCCGCGACAACGTCCCCATCACAACTGACATGTCTGCTACATGCCCTGCTGCCTCGCCAGCTGTCCGATCATCCAACAGGCCGGCTTGAACCGTTCCGGACTCAGCTGTGCCCACCCTCGGGCTATTCCTAGAACGGGCAGCTTGGTGAGGCACCCTAGGAGGTTGGGCATGAAGGTCGGCCCTCTTCCTCGCAGCTCGGGTCGACGGGGTCTGAGAAGCACCCGCAACCTCGTAGGCTCGTTGCTCAATGCTGTCGCTCGTGTTCACCAATGCCCCGCGCTGGCTGGTCAAGACCTCTGGACATTTGATAGCTTGCTGTGCGGCTTGCGCGTTGGTTCCCTAAACTCACAGTGTATCTGAAATTTGAATGATGCTACGGTGATGATGAGAGCTGGCGCAACGGCGAATCCGTCCCGGAAGTAAAAGGATGAATCTCAACGTCGACGTCCCAACCGTTTCCGCAGCTTCGTGCTGCCGATATTAGTATTGGAATCAGGGAACATTGTCTCAACCACTTGGAACCCCAGAGGTGTCTTGCGTGGCATCGCACTCGCAAGTCCACCACGCGAGCAAGGGATGGCCCAAAAGGAAGCGCAAAAGTGACGCAAGTTCATTGATGAGCGCCACGACCGGACCTCGTGGCAATGGGAGAAAATGCTCCAGCGGATGTGTCATCGACTCCATCGCGTTTGTTGATGCTTCGTTCTGCCGGCGAGGGTAGACTCTTTTGCCCCGTGTGCTGAGACGCCGTCATGATAATTGAGATGCCGACAGTTTGCATAGCGCCGGAAGCCCCTCGCCGCTGGTGACATGCTCATTCTGCGCATCATGGTGTCCTTAGACGATTCCTCTAGGTTCTCATGTTGCCTCACCCTGCAGTCCTACATGCGCGTATGGTGGAAGCGAGCAGTCAAGGCGAGGTACACGGATCACGAAACGTCATGGATGTCGCGTGTTCACTTAATTACACAATAATCGCTTACACCTTGTGATGGCATTTCACCAAGATGGTTCGAATTACGAAAGTTTTTGTTAACTTGAGCTGGGTAGTGATGGCGAATAAAATCCAGCCTATAAGCCAAGCCATGCCCCCAGAGTCCACAGGCAGGACCTCTCGTGCAAACCCACCCTTTTTTTGTAACCAATCCACGACCGATCGAGCAGCAATGGTCCAACTCGGGAGCATGACCGGCCTCTCCGGCCCCGCCCTGGCCCTCGCCGCCGCCTGCCTCCATTCGCTGGCGATGGCCGAGACGACGAGCACCACTGTCACGTCCCTGGACCTCATCACCCTCTACCCGACCACCACCCGGGTCACCATCGTGACCATCGCCCCCGGCGAGTCCTCCAGCACCAGCTCGGGCACCCTGACGAGCACGGTCTGGGTCCCGTCGTCGTCGTCGTCGCCATCGAGCGCCAACCCGTCCGCCTTCCTCGGCGCCAGGGTCGGCATCTTCGACCTGCCCTCGACCCTCGTCACCAAGATGGTCAAGAGCCCGGCCGCGCCGTCTCCGCAGCCCACGGGTACCGTCGTCGAGATTGCTTTTGTTGGGGTGGCCCCCTCGGCCAAAGCTGGCTCGCCGGCCGGGGCGGCCGCTGCTGTCAAAGCAGCCTCTGCCGACCAAGAGGTCGCTGCCGCCAAGGACGCCTCCACCGACGAAGCCTCCGCCGACGAAGCCTCCCCCATGGAAGCATCCTCCAGCGTTGAAGACGCCTCTGCCGTCGGAGCTGACCCGGTCCGGGTGGCCCAAAAGGAGGAGGATGCTGGGTCCTTCATTTAATGTCTTGTCCGAACAAGTACCTTGTTATGGGTTGGATGAGAGGAAATATGGCATGATGGATGGGAAATGTGGCTGGATAGGTCTGGACCAATGATCAAGCAGAGGATAGATATATAAGTTGGCCTCTGGACCCTCCTAAAAGCTCCTTCCAACCAGCGGCAACACGCACTTAATTTGCCATCGCCAACTACAGGATTCCAGAGTAGAGGCAAGTGTTTGTGAAGCCAAAAATGGTGAAAATACATATCCCACATCGCTCTATACGAAGCGTCATCTGTGTTGCACACCCAACCACCCCCACCTGCCGGCTAGACACCCGTGACGTTGAGGTAGTTGCCCGCCAGGGGGACGGTGAGGTTGGCGGCCTGCGCAAAGGCCGCCATGTTGAAGTTGAAGCGCGACGACACCGTCTGGCGCTGGCTCGCGGGCACGGCAAAGCCGGCCGGCTGCTCGTACAGCAGGAACACGTACGAGTGCGGGTAGGGGGGCCGCTCGGCCGGCGGCGAGGGCCCAAAGTAGCTCGACGGGCCGTTCTGGGTGGAGCCGAGGATGGCGAAGCCACCGGCGTGGGTCTGCCCCGTGGCCTTGACGTCCCGGATCATGGCGTGGAGGAGGGGCTGCCTGGCGCCGCCGGTCCCGAGCTGACTGTTTTGGGAAGGGTGTTGGCATTAGTACGGAGAGATGTGTGTCTTCCAATGATAGTTGCAGCGGATAGTCCACGTACACGTCGAGATCTGCCACGGAGCGTTAGCCAGGTATAGCGTGGCGTTGGGAGTGATGGGGCCGGCTTACCGATCATGATGAAGAGATATGTGCCCGTCAGTGTCTCGTTTAGCCCAAAGGTGGGGATCCGGGCCGTCTCTGTTGTACCCAAGAACTTAGGCCTGCCCAGACGTCGCACTGCCTTTAGTAGCCAATGTGCCCTTACCGGCTTTGGTGAAGCTTGTTCCAGGTGGCTTCACGGCTTTGCTCCCATACACAACATTGAGGTGCTTGGAGACCGAAGGTGTGAACCTGGCAGGTGCTTGACCGGCCACGAGTCCGCCCAAAAGGGCCCAGGACAGCAGTGAGGAGGGCCACATCGTGTATAGGGAATATGTCCTTGGTGGTTGCTTGTAAACAGGATTGAAAGGACTAGATGGAGCTAGAGGCACTTCTCACAGCCCCCAGGAGAACCGGATGGTGTCGAGTATTTGAAGGAGTCCGTCTGCCATTCCATGCGCTACATTCGCCTCCGAGATATTAGATAGATTAGAGCCCTAGAGTAGCATGGCGTCCTTTGCCGGAATTGGATCACTGTGCAATTTTATTCGAGGTACCTTTCCAATCTGGTAGATTTACCGAATCCGGTCGATTGAAGTCTTCCTTACCAACTGTCGGGGCTATCAGCCGGCTTGGCAATGCTTTCGGCCATCCGGGAAAAGCTTGGGTCCGGCAGCCCCCGCAGGCTAGACGATCGGGATGGCGTTCACTCGGCAGTTGGACAGTTGCTGGTTGGAGGGGCCGAGCGACGGCCAGCGTGGAAGCCACAATCACAATCATGATGTGTTCTCCAGGTATGTGCGTTCAATCTGATGCACGACTGGTACTGGCCAAGATTATAAGCAATGAAATTTTGGAATTGGGTATAAAATGCATCTCCATAATGCTGGGCAAAAATAGACAGAGAGAAAAGAAGACGCAAACCCAGACCTAAAACCCCAAGCCGTAGCCGTAGCCGGTGGTATGCAAAAACAAAACGCCTATCCGCGACCTCCTTTTATTGGTACACCCCACTGAACGCCTTCCATATCCTGTCAAACCAGTCAATGCAGAGACGGTAAACGCAGACCATCAAATTCGGGGGAGGAAAAGGTAGCTTCAAGCGCTGGCGTTGCTCCGCGCTCGCCTCCGCGAGACCCAGCCGGCGACACCGCGCTTGGCCTCGTGCGAGTAAAACACCTCCTTGACGGCGCCCTCGAACGTCGGCTTGTCCGACACCAGCGAGCGGATCTGCTGGTCGGGCGCCTCGGCCTCGGCCTCCCCCTCGGCCTCCCCCTCGGCGGGGGGCGCGGAGCGCTCGCAGTTGCTGGAGTGGCGGTATTTTGGGTCCTGGCCGTGGTGGGAGGGCCGGCAGGCGCGCCTGACGAGGGCGCTGAGCGAGCGGCGGCGGCGGCTGGCCCACGACTGGGCCGACCCGTCGCCGCCGTCGTCGCGCTCGTCGATGGACCGCTCGTAGACGCTGCTGCCGCCGCTGACGGCCAGGATGGAGGCCAGGTCCGCGTCCGACAGGGCCGAGCCGGCCGAGTCGGACGACACGGACTGGCCGTCCGAGTTGGTGCGCCGCAGCACGAAGGTGGGCGGGTTCTGGGCGATGGGGCTGCTGCTGCCCACACCCCCAGCCTCGTCGGCGTCAAGGGCCGAGAGCTCCTCCCGGGTCGGGGTGTCGAGCTCGTCGGCCAGGCGGCGCCACGGCATGTGCTCGCCCGTCTCGGACGGGGAGTCCAGCCGGACGGACGCCGACATGGCGGTGGGGAGGGTGGTGGCGAGGAGGAAGGCGGAGATGGTGGGGTAGCGCATGTTGACGGATGTATGTGTAATGTTGTTGATGTATGTGGTTGGTGTGGTCCTTGTTTGTGTATAGGGCCCCTTACAGGCTGTATCGACAGTGGTCCAGGAAATGTCTGGTCAAGATTCTCGTGGTTCTCGTGGTTGGAAATGGAACCGAGTCCTTGCTGCGGGGCCATGGCCCCCTTTTACATCTCGAGCGTGTCCCCTGAAAACCCGAACACGCAGCTCGCATTGTCAAGACGGGCCCCCGATTAATCTTTTTGCGGCAGCAGCCTTTCGGGTGGGCGGCGCATCGAGGCTTCGCGTGGTGCTGTCGCAGTAAGCTGGCCCCGCCCAGGCGAGGCGCAGGGGACGCTGCCACCAATGAGCGGTTGCTACTTATTTCGGGCTGAACAGTCAGGGGATCGTCGCACTGCCTCCGGTGGAGATGCCTGAAACATTGGCATGCAAACCAAGATTGACACCCAGAGCCCTGAGCACAGGTGCTTTTTTGGCGTGACGGGTGGGTTTTTGGCACTTTGTCTGCGGCTGCTTGGAACGCCAACCCGTCTGATGCATTATGGCGTCAGCAGCCTACGCTAATTAACTGCAAACGCTACGCCAACGCTCAGGGGATCCACAGGGAGGAACCCATGTGCCTCGGATGTGCCACAAACGCGCCATAGCGGAATCCTACCCCATCGCTTTTTTTAGGCGGCAGGTTGCGAACGAGAATGGCTTCGAGAATGGCGCAGAGAAGGAACGGGAGACGAGGGGACAAAAGCCAAAGCCAAAAACAGCAACGGCCTTATTATAGGTATCCTAGTAGGTATCCTAGTAGGTATCCTAGCGGTGGCTCAATCACCATTCATCGTTCCCCGCACCCCGGATTTCGGAGTCATCAAGCGAGAAGGGACGAAGCCGCGAAAATCCATCGGGCAGACGGCCCGCCAAGGGCTCCCTAACCAAAAACCTTCGAGGTGCCGTCTCATCTTTACAAGGCCCTCGCCTCTACAGGACCGACAGCAGCTTGTCCAGATCCTCCACAATCTCCTGGTAGATGCTCTCGGATATCACCTCGTCCGACGCCGGCACGTTTTCCACGGGCTGCACCATCGGCTTCGAGTTCAGGCACCGGTACACGAGCTCCGCCATTTTCTTGCCGCCCTTTTGCGGGACGTAATGCTTTGTCATGTCCTCGAGCGTGGTCTTGACACGCTCCGCGTCTTTTGTGAGCAGGTTCGCAACAGGCGTCGCAGTGCGGCCGCCACTGCGCGACGCGGCCTCGGCATTGGCCAGGTCGGCCGGCCAGCGTTTCTTGTACGTCTCTCTGTACGCGTCGGAAAGCACCAGCGAGAAAGGCGGTGCCTGGGCTAGAGGGACCAGGCTATCCCACATCAGCAGCTCCAGGGCGCATACACCCATGCTGTATATGTCGTGGTAGATGTTGTAGTTCTGCTTCGCCAGGCCCTGCGAGCTTTGGGAGGGCTCTACTCCCGTTTTTGCCAGTGGGAAGCCACCGTCGTGGTCGTCGTCGTCGTAGATTTCATCCACCTGAGCCGCCTCGGGGCTTTGGGCATGGCGGTCCGGGTGCTGGTATATGAGTTTACCAGGTGCCCACTCGCCACTACGCGCGCTCGCCCCACGCGATTTGTCGCGCGACTCTGACCAGCCGCAGAGGAACAGCGTCGCGTTCACGATGGTGCTTGCAGGGTCGTCGGATGCTCTTTCCACCGCCACCAAAAGATTCGCCGGCCGGATGTTCTTGTGCACGAGGCCGATCTTGTGGGTCTGCAGAACGGCGACGGCTAGCTGCCGACAGAGCGAGACGCGGACGTTGAGGGACGGCTCCTGTTCCTTGCCCGCATAGAGCGTAGTTAGGGTTACTGGCTCCGCGCTCGTGGGAAGGGGCCACTCAAACACCAAGCGGACATAAGCATCCCAGCAGTCGGGGAGATATCCCAGCAGCCGGGGGATGGAGTTCGCCGGCAGGGCTGAGCGAAGCCTGGATGCCAGGTCCTGTATCTTCTTCTCGGCCACTTCCTTTCTCGTCTCGAAATACCAACGCGACTGCTCGAGTACCACTGAAGCCTCCCCTGCCGCCGTTTTCCCGGGTGGTACGTAGTTGGCCCTGGCCCATTCTAGACTCTGACTGATATCTCGCACGCCTCCAACAAGCGTGATATCCGTCAAAGGACTGTAGTCGGCAGAGACCGCTCGCATCGTCATGACCAGGGCACTGAGCCCTTTCAACGCCTCATCAAATCTCTTGAGCTTCTGGTCCAGCACTTGATGTGGGGAGGGCGATTTCGCCGCGCTTCTCGCTGGCATGAAGGAGCCCTTTGTGCGTCGCTGGAACATTGATAACCTGCTCTTTATCTTCTTCTTCTCTTCAGGCAGCGCCTCTCGCAGGACCGCCTTCACAGCGCTGTCGAGTTCCTCAAGCAGCACGCGGAGCTTCTCGAGGTCGCGGTTCAGCCGGGCCTTGCGCTCCTGAGGCACTCCGTAGTCGTCAAAGATATTCTGGCACAGCTTGAAATTCATCTTGACATCCTCGCCTCGATCGTCGAGTCCGAACTCCTTGAGCTGTGCGGCTTGGTCTTCCGTGAGGCGCTCCTGATGGATCTGCTTCTCGAAATCGTCCCAGAGCTTTATCAAGTCCTTGACCAGGCCCCAGGTCCCGGTGACGGCTCCAAATACAGCAGACATGGCGGATAGGTGGGTACTTGGTTCTCGAACTGGAAGAAACGTGCCACCGTCGCGGTCGGGTTTTTATTGCTGTTGTTGACGCCGAATTTTAAAGTATCCCATCAGAGCATAGTCCCAAAGCACGGCAGAATACAGCGGCTATGGAAGCATCCCACCGCATATATGAGTGCGTAGTCACCACCACATCCAGCCTGCAGCCGCCAAACCTGCTTTTCCAGTGCGTTCTGGTCGCCGATAACACCTCAGTTCAGCCGCAGCCGACCCCCCCCTTCCCCTGGCACCGGGGCTACGCGCACCCCGCGTACCTCCTTCCGCCCGCGTGTTTTGGTGCCCGATCGGCCCAAATGTAAGGCTTGGGGCGAGGATAGGTGCCTTGACCTCTGGGGCACAGCCTGCCTCCGCTACGACACAAGGTATTCCGCCTGCATGAGGATGCACAGGTGCATAGGTACCTACCTCGGTAGAGGTACCCATCCGCGCCAGGAGAAAGCACGAACTTGGGAGGGAAAAGGGACATACTTGGGCTAGAAGACGGGAAGGCTTGTGTCCAATGAAGTACATCCCTCTTTGTACCTTGATGCATTGGTGCTCTGGAACCAGAGTATGGGCACTGCCGCTTTACTCGTGGCAATCTTAGCTGATTACCTTGACCACCCTGTGGCACTGCCTGCAGCTCAGGTTGCATCCGCGGCAGCTCAGGGCTGGCACTCAATCCAGATTTGTGGGCAAAAGTTGACCCCGCCGGTTGACTTGCAACACCGATCCTTTCTTTTCGTTGTTCTAGCAAAAATCTACGGATTATTGCGGCTTTGTCCTTTTTGCCAATAGATTCCGTAACAGATACCGGTGATCCCTAACATGGCTTTGTACAAGCCTTTTATCGTTTGCTTTCCTTAAAGTCGTTATTGTAATAGCTTGATTGTAAATTGCTTTTGAGGAAGCGCTTGTGATGTGGCTGATATGTTTGAGGCCTGGCGAATCTAGTCACAAAGTTTTCGGTTTGCAGGCCCTATCCCCGCGCTAAAGCCACGAGTAGGAGAGAAGGAGTTGCGGAGTTGAAGGAGCCCAGCCTAGGCACATTGTAAAAATTGTGCCCGAGGTAACCTTGCCGCCCAATATTGAGCCGCCTGTTAATCGAGCAGGCAATGTAGATGCGGCAGTCAACACGGTAGCCGGGCGTAGTAAACTTTGTGTGTATCGCAGCCCGACCACAATGAAGTATCGGAGGGTTGTGTTAGGAAGATGCGTGGAACTGTTTTACTGGACGCCACACTCTCAGTATTGAAGAGAATGGGGACGCTCGTGACAGATTTTGGCGAACGATTTGAAGCCGCTACGAACCGTTGCAGTGCTGCCCAACGTTGGTATCGTTTCAGCGGCTGCAAGTTAAGCCGCCTTCGTGGAAGCGAGCCCCAAGAGGGGCTGGTGTCGTCGATGCAAGTCTGCAGCCGCTGATACATGCTGCCTCTGGATAACCGTTGCCCAGCTTCGCGCCTTAGCAACCTGTTTTTTTTTTTTTTNTTTTTTTTTTTTTTTTTTNTTTATTT